ACAATGTTTTTGTATGGTATGTTACGCCAGTTGAGCTTGATGTCCCCTGTGACTGTAAATGAAACCAAATCAAACACAGTGCCATTGAGTTAAATCTGACTCACAGTGACCCCTCCTTGTGTTTCTGAGGCAGTATCACTATGGAAGTAGATTGCCCAACCTTCCTTCTGAGGAGTGACTGGTGGGTTTGAACCACCAGCCATGGGGAAATGAAAACATTTTAATAAGAACAATGAGAAGATGTGGTAGTTAAGTTGTGTGTCAACTTGTCTGGGCCTAGGTTTGGTTGGCTGGGCAGCTGGATGTAGTTATTCCCCACGATGACATTTGTAATTAACTCTATGGTGGAACCTACTGGAACACTGGAATAGCTGCCTTAGGGATGTGGCCTGCTTCCAGTTTATAAAAAGACAGGTTTGAGCCAGGTCTCTGAGCTTTTTGGCACGCTTAGACCTTGCATGTTGGAGCTGTGGTAGCCCAGGGCCTAAGGCATTTGACTGCTTACCAGGAGGCTGGCAGTTCAAACCCATCAGACACTCCTTGGAAGAAAGGTTGGGCAATCTACTTCCGTAGAGATACTGCTTTGGAAACCCAAGGAGGGGTCGCTATGAGTTGGGATTGAGTCGACGGTAGTGAGTTTAGTTCTTTTTTGTTTTAAGACCTTGAATGTTTTCAAGTCTCCATCTCAGTGGCCTACCATGTTGTCTGCTGATTTTTAGGACTGTTTATGGACTTGAGTTAGTACCCTGCCATGTTGCTTGATAACCTTGAGATTGTGCCATTTTACTTGTCAACCTTGGATTTGTCAGATTAAGCAGGCAGCAGCTGCCCGAGCTAAGAAATGCCTCCAGCTTTGGTGGACCTGGAGCAAGAGGCAGAGCTGAGACCCGTGGTCAAGGGGCCTTCACCCAGCCCCTAGAGCTGGCACTTTGAGCTTGGACTTCTAGCTTCCTAAATGATAAGAATAAATCCCTGTTTGTTCAAGCCCCCCATTTGTGGTATTTTCTGATAAAGCGTCACTCAAAAACTTTTTTTTTTTTTTTTTAAAGCATCACTAGATAACCAAAATAAAGGGTTTTAAGTAGAAATAATTATAAATGAATCAACCATTTTGACTCATTATCAAAACTTATAAATAAAATCTTTTCCAAAATTTGCCCATATGAATGTCACATAACAGTGGTGTGTTGGCCTATGGGTGACAGAGCTACTACATAAATGAACCCACAACTTCCACATTGGATCTCTAACTCCCTGGAGGAAATCAGGGTCAAGTTTTGCAGCCTGACCAGGCTTGGTCAATTCTCAGACTATGAGATAAATGAATTCCTCCATCTGTAGGAGCTCTGGCAGCATGGTGCCTAAGGCATCTGACTGCTAACCAGAAGGCTGGCCATTCAAACCCACCAGCCACTCCTTGGAAGATGGGGCAATCTTCCCTGGAGATAACTGCGTAGGAAACCCAAGGAGGGGTTGCTGTGAGTTGGAATCGACTTGACAGCAGTGAGTGTTGGGTTTTTTTTGTGTGTGTGACCTTATTGCGGAAAGCTGAGCCCTGGGGAGCTGCGTGACCAATGCGGGCGTGGTCCCTGGAGGCTGGAGCCTGTTGCCCTCAGTGCAGATGCCCACAGGGTGGATCTTGGCCCTGGGCCTGGGAGGAAGCCGGACACCTGTCACTGCTGCTGACTCACCACTGTCTCCTCCCCATTCCTCCATTTCAGGTCGCCATTGTGGGGCAGGGAGAACTGGTCCAGTCCAGCAGCCGGGGACCTAGGGCCACCATCGTGCACATCCGTAAATCCCAAGGAGAGATTTCAGTTGTTCTCACTGGTGTGTGGACTAAGCATTGTTTATCTGCTTGCAAACTGCCCAGTGCTCTGCTTCTACTCCCCTTACTCTTCCTGACGTGGCTTCTGGACTCAGAGACTATATTCCATCAGCTCTCCAGGAAGTTGGAGCCGAGAAATGGTGAGTTGTACTTCTTCTCATAAGGGGCTGAGGCTGGATATGAATTGTGCGGGCCTAGGTATGTATTGCAGGAGTGTGGTTCCTGAATGAAGCAAAAAGATGGCAGAGGAGGCCAAGGGACTGGGCCCTAAGAGGCATTCTAAGGCTTTGCTGCACTGTCACTGTGTCCTTCCTCTGTTCACATATGTCTTCACAGTTGGATGCCTAGGGTCACCTTCCTCCGGTGGATCTTAGAGGTGGCACTGTGGGGCGTTCCGATCCCCACCCTGGGCCTTGGTGCTCTGTGTTGAATGACAGAGTCTCTTGGCCACAGCCTGATGATAGAGTGGCTTTGGCTGTGGAAGCTGAGACCTGCCCTGCAGAGCCTTGCTTGTCCCCTCCCTCTCTCTCACCAGTTTTCTTGACTTCCCTGAGGCACTGGAGCATTT